TATTGTTGCAAACATTTGTGTTTTTCCATCTGTTTTCACCATGCACACAATTTCAAAAGATCATAATATTGTTATTCTGTTTATTTTTTTATTGTTGTTAAGAAATTTATTTCTTTAAATGACACTGTAGCGCGCCGGTACTTACCTATGCCACCCGATGCCCCGCTATCCCCTCTCGTACGCTCCCTAGGAGCAGGAGGCTCGGCACCTCCGATACCTACCATTGGACGTGATTCAGAGCTCCAGGGGAGCCCTAGTCTTCCCACCAACCAAGTGGAGGCCACACTGCGTTGTGAACCCGAAATAGAACGCCAACTGTTAAACAGTCGCCACTCGGGTTGTACACCTTCACTGAGGCCGTCGGCAATAGAACAGTTTGACAAGTAGACTGTTGACGGCTCAAAGGATCAGTGAAGGCGGCCGTGGTGGGAGCTAGGGCGGCAGCTATCTAGCTGGAGCTGCCTCCATCGCACCGGGGGTCCCGAAAAGCGGCGTTCCGGCGGCATCTCAACGACCCGTGGTTGGAAATCAATCACCGAACGGGCCGACCTGGGGAGCTTCGAGGGACATTGGCCTTGATGCACGGGACAGATTCGAGGTCGCAGGAACCCCGTAGTATACCGGTACCGACCAAAGGGGGGAGGGGTGGTACTCCAGTCGCGGCCACTCAGCTAACGGGGGTGAGAAGGGTCTAGCTGACCGCTGAGGGGCCGTGAAGTTCCTCTCAACACGCTGAGGGGGGGGGGGCGATGACCCCCCCGCCCCTGGGGGAACGACCCCCGACTGGTCGAGGGAGGGACCCCCTTCAAACCCAGGGGCACGGTGGCCGGCAGGGGAGCGCCGAGCGTCGCCCGACAGAGGGCGTTGCTGGGCGCCCCCGCCCGTGGGAGTTGAGGGCCCGGCAGAGCCCCGAGAGGAAGCGCCGTTCGCACCCAGGCACAAAACGGCATGGTGGTTGCCCTGGCAGTGCGGACAGGGCCGCTGGTGCGGGCAGTCTCGTTGGAGGTGCCTTTCCAAGCACGAGTAGCACCAGCGGCGCTCCTTGGCGATGGTTCGCCTCGCCGGGACCGGCTTACCCAATAGCTTCGGGCACAACGTCACCCGGTGATCGGATGCTCGACAATATGAGCAGGGGCGCCTCCGGGCCGCTATAAGATGGTAGGGGGCGGCGCCGTCCCGCGGGAGCTCCGCGCGGTCTTAGGGGGGTTGGCGACGACTTGCCTGCTGCGTTCTCAATTTGCCGGCACTGCTCCTCCAAGAACCGCAGCAGGTCCCTGAAGGGCGGAATATCGGAGGCGCCATCCCCGCCGTAACCTCTCCTCAAAATGGAGATCCGAAGATCGAGAGGCAGGCGGGCCAGCACGATGTGGAGCAACAAGAAGGACCATTCGTCCACCGGTAAATCCAGCCGCCTCAACGAATTACAGGCTACCAAGACTGGATTTACGATGTGCAGACGTAGTCTGGCCCGGTCCCTAAGCAGCGGGAGGTTTAGAAGCTGCCTAACGTATTCGTCCGCAATTCGCCGGACGTTGTCGTACCTTCCTGCGAGGAGGTCCCGGGCGGTCTGGTAAGCGTCTTCAGACAATTTTAAATGGCCGATGACGCCCAGGGCCTCCCCATCCAGTGAGGCCAGGAGGTACGCCATCTTCTGGCTTGGTGTTAAGTCCCTCCGGGGGTCCACTAGGCTATCAAAAGGCCAACAAAGGTTCTTGGCGAAAAAAAACCTTGGCAGGTCTCCGGGGTCCTCTGTTGGGGGTTATCTGTAACACCTATGGCAGAGTTGGGAGTCGATCAAGTCGTCCATGAGCGAAAAGAATTGCTCGTAGTCCGCGCGGCAGGACTCTAGGACTCCCTGTTCCGCATCCGAGGCCAAAAGCTCAGTGCAAGCCTCCTCCACTACGGCCCTTCGGGCCATGACCTGCTCGAGCCGCTTCTCTAAACTATGGACCCGATCGGGTCGCCCTATCAAGGTATGGGCATTCGCGGCCCAGCGCAGCTCCGCCTGCAGGCGAAGCGCCGGTGGCTTGTGCGATGGCATCACTACTAAATACAAATTACTACTAAATTAAATTAAATACAATTACACTACACGGCAAGTACACACTACAGTCGGTCAGCGAAGATGGCACTATCAACCACGCTCTGCTACCACAAAATGTTACGGTCCTCAGTTGCCCCGACAAAAGTCGACTGGGCTAGGGCCCATAGTAACCCAACTCGACGGGCAACCCGAGCGTCCGGGACCAATGGCCTATGGATAATTAATTTATAATCGCTGTATAAGCAAACACAAACTCACCTAGTTCCGGAGGTAGGGTCGACCACAAGGTACCGTCAGGGGCAAGTAAATGTTAGGTGTGAGTGGTGTAGGAAGGTATGTAATGTAACCTGACGTCATCGATGTAATCGGCCAATAGAACCACATGCGTTGCCCACAAGACGCAATCACTCCAGTGGGCGTTCACCGCTATCTGAACTCAAGTTTAACGTCACTTAGCACAAACTATAATCGAACGCGATCTCCACCCGGGTCACAAAGTTTAGCGTTCCAAACGACAAACAAAATTACTTAGTACGATATTAAAACACGACACAAGGCACGCGTCGATGCAAATTAATGGCAATCGAAGTTAAAAAATCACTCAAGACTCAAAGAAAGCCTCGTTGTCACGTATACAAACAAAATAAAACAACGCAAAGGAGGCAGTCTTAATGCGACGTAACGATTCCTACACGGCCGTAGCGCACAAAGATTATTCCAGACTAATTGGCCGGCCGCCGCCCGCTCGGCTCGACCCGTCAAACCGGTTCCTCGCCCGAGACGAGCGCCCCGCAAGTTTCAAGTTGTTATGATTTGGCCTAAACAGAAGGACCAGACAGATGCTATCTTTTACGAGATGTGTCTTGTCGGTCTAACTTAATATATAACTAATTTGAATTTTTGAAATGCCACATTACAACGTAATTATTTGAAGGCTAAAGTACACTGACATGATTTTAACCCACTGAGAATGTCATTAAAAAAAACTTTTCTGTAAAAGGTATAAGGAAATATTTTGTCCTGCAAACCCTCAAAAAACATTCATCTATGTTCAACAGTGAACTTTTGATGGACAACGGAATGTTCTTCAGCATATTGGAGAAGAGAAGTCGGTAGACATTAAATCATTTCGCTCAAAATAGGTTGCATAGGAACAACAGGCGTCGAAGGAATAAGATTTTTTTTGCGATAATTTGATATTTGATCTTAGGTACTTACCATCATTAACATTACAGCTTATTAAGTTCATGCTAAAACTAGGCCTCCCCCATAGATTGCATCATAGGGGGGACATTTGCCATGGCATGGCAGTTTTTTCTCTCGTCTTAGGTTGGCAACTGCAATTTTTCTTATTCTCTTTATTAGAAAGACACTGCTACCTATGTACTGGTTCGTTTCCTTCTGTCGCCTCTAAATGCCACCCACGATGCAATATGGGGTAGTGGATATCCTTACATCGCCACTGCACGGTGTGTGTTAAATACCTACACAGTGTAGTTATTGTTATTTGTCAACAAACCATGATAACATTTTGCATTAGCTAGTCTCTCTGCACCATTTCCGGAATATCTCGAGACCGCAATGAAAAGAATTGCGTGTCGTTGCCACTTTTATAATTTGAGATTTTAGTTGGTTTTTAGTTCTCATTTCACATTACTATGAAGTACTACCTTTGTGTTAATTCAATGTCAAATGCAACACATAATGTATTAATTAATGGATGATTTATCGTAATTTATGTATTATTATTATTAGTAATAGATATATTATTTACTTACTTATAATTTTGAAATAATCATAAAGTAATAGTCAACACTAGAAAACCGAAACTGGAATGCAGGTTTTGTACCATAATATTAATGATACATTTTGTTTCAGAGAGATGACTTCGATATGCTGTAACTTCGAAATAGTTTTGTTTTACTATGTAAATATCAAAGGAATAAAATAAGTTTTTGTAATATTAAGGTTTCTTATTTATACAACACAAATTGACACAATATATATTATATAATATGTTAATTAAGCTACCTAGAGATAACATCATCTTAAGATGGCTTGATCAGAATATAAAATGAAACAGCTTATTGGCACACACCACCTCATTGAGAAGGACATGGAACAAAAAGAGTAAGCTCAACTTTGGTATATATGTGCGGGCTACAGTTATTTATTTATAACTTTTATCATTCCTTACTTAGTTTACGACGGGTTGTTTTCAGCAACTCCTCGTCTAAGCGCGTATTTTGCGTGTGAGCAGGAATAATGTGATTATAACGAGCCATGAAATCGCCCTGAAGAAGTTCAACAGTCCTTTGATGTTGAAAGCAACTTTGGGGAGCAATCACGGCGTGTCGAGATGTTTAGCCCTGTATGAAGCAACCTCCGGACATGTCAGCAACACTTGAGCCGCCGTTTCTTCCTCCCTTATGCATGCCCTGCATAAGGGGGTTATCTGTAACACCTATGGTAAATAAATGTTTGTTAAAGGAGCCATGTCCTGTGATAACACTTGTTACTATCCTGATCTGTGGCTTGTCCAGTCTCATTAGAACTTTAGTTAGACAACTGTTTATTTCAGACAGGGCTTCCCTAGCTAGTTAACTTTGTTGAACAGTATGGTGTGTTGAAGGCATTTTAAATATTGTTTTCGTCAATATACTTCCTAGAAGCCATTCATTTTTTTTAATAATATTTCAATGACCAACGAACTTTTAGTACCACATGATGTTTAGCTGCAGCCCATGGACACCTGCAACCAACTTAAACAAAGTCTACCGATGTATTGTCACCTCTGTAGATTATGATGGAATACCTCAAAGCCTGTTATTATACTGGCTCATGTATGGTGGCCCAAATAGGTAACAGGGTTGTATCTATCGAGACGGACTCCTAGACAGGAAAGGAGTCCTGTCATCTAGGAAAATCTTCATCCTTAATATCAAGAAGCACAAACTCATATAGACAGTATATCATCTCTGTGGCTCCTGTTCTCCAAAACTACAGCTATCCTCCTGATAGCGTCTGCCTGAGTTGCTGCAGCTTCTGATAGTTTCCTCAATGCCTCGGCTTGTATTAACATGGCCTCCGCACTCTTGGCTGCCACGCCAACGCGTTGTTCCTCTGCTTTGGCGCGGATTAATTCGGCATCAGCTCGTTTCTTCTCTATATCTATTAACCATTTTGGATATAAATCTGAAATTTAAGGGAGCTGCTATAATGAGCGCATATAAAATTTTGGCCGATCTTAATAAAGGCTAGCCATAAAATTATATAATTGAAAACGGAGGTGTCCAACCGAGATTTCGGCTTCGGTCACCTTCGGCCAAAAACACCATCTTAGAATTCGGTCAAAATGGTCCGAAATTTTGCCCTCTAGTTGAACTGCTAGAGATGATAAACATTGCCTTTTTATTATATTATTCAGTCAATATAAACCTTTAATTAAAAAAATAGTTTATATAATTTATTTTAGCTTATCTTGAAATGAAGAGATCGGCCGGAAATCGATCTTCGGTCAGAAACTATTGAATACTTACTCTGTATAAGCGGCTCATTAGAATTTTGATCAGAATCGTCATCATATTCATTGTTAGAGTTCGCACTTTCCTCACTGTCTTTATCGCCATCTGAAACAAAACAAAGTATACGTTTTATATATATAAAAAAATAAAAATGTATATAAAAAGTATTTCATCCAGTCATAACCAGTATTTTAATTTAGCATTCACCAAAGTACACCTTTAGGTCACTCCATAAAGCCCAAGACTTATAAGTAATATCCCCTCAACTGGTGCGCATTCCGATTCGGGACGCGGCATAAAAGAGCACGTCTGGTGTCAGTCCCGATCCGGGACGATCGCCTTACCTCTAGTTCTACAGGAAAAATAAGTGACCATATTATTTTTATCTTATTCTCACCCATGTCAGTGATTATGGGAAAGAATAGGCTAGCAAATGAGCCAGTAATATTAATATAATTATACTAGGTTCGGCCGAGGGACAAAAGTAGATTTGAAGCATACTGGTCTTTTGAATAAACATTTAAGTGGTTTAAAAGTATAGTACGTGCTTAAAGTGATATAATAATACTAATATCTCGATAAGTAAGTAATCTACTGTTAAATATATTCTGTTTGCGTTTCTGTTGATGTTTGTATTCAAAATTTCATTAGAAGTTAAAATACCACTCTCGCGATCGCTATAAAAAAACCTACATTATTTAACCACAAATATTTCTGGAAACTATCTCTTTACTGTTTTGTATGGTGAGTAATATATTATAATATTTGTGACTACTAAACCCTTACCGGAATATTGGTACATAAATTAATAATTTAAAGTAAATTGTAAAGGTAGTCGTGACGTCCCGAAATAGTCAGTCGCGTTCGAACTCACAAGTACTAGTTGTCTTTTGTGTATTATTGTTATATATTTTGTGTACTAAAATCGCGATTATTACACCCAGGGTGCTAGCGCGTTGTAGGCGATTGATGAATTTTAACGCTGTTTACGTAAATAGTTTTTGTAAACACTTGTAATTTTTGTTTAGTGTTTAGTATATTTAATTGTAGGATAAAATAGTTCAAACATTTTTAATGTGGTTTAAAAATAATATACAATTAATTACCTATCTATTCGATAAATTATAACGGCAAAACTTCGAACCTACTATAAATGTTGCGTGGATGGATGCCTAATGAGCAAACAAAAGGATTCAGATAATATCATTTTTTATGTTATCTAAAGATAATGAAAGATACATTTATTCAATTTTTTAAATATATACTTATAGCAAAAAGGAATTAAGTAATAATTTAAATACAGAAGTAATACCTCAGTACTTTACTTCACTATCTAAGTAGGTAGCTTACATATCTTTTGTAATTAAAATATTTTAAGTTATCACAAAGCACTGAAATTAAAACTTTGTTTACAAGATTTTTAACTAATTAGAATACAATCAAATTTTATTTAGGAATCGTATTTCGGGTTTATTTGTTGTTTACATTACCTACCTATTTCTTCCGAGCGCAAATCGCGATTCGTGACGAGTGACCTTGCAAGTTGCGTGCGTTAGGCACAAAATTCGCATAGTAGCAAAAATATGTTCATTCGATCAGTCAGAATAGGTACCTTACCTATTTTACATACCATTTCGCAACGTATTAATTAATTAATTTATACTCTTTATTGCACACAACATATTAAAATAACACACCAACCTTAATTTATAAAGGGGGACGCCCATTTTCGGCCATGGGACGCCCATTTTCGGCCATGGAACGCCCAACAATGTGAATTTGTTAAAAAATTATATCTTTATTTATGGTTATTAATCGCGGTATTCATTTATCCTCAAACAATGGGAATATTTTTGCACAAATTAAAAGTACCGGAAACATAATAATAAAAATTAGGTAAATCATTATGTCATTAGTTTGTGAATAAAAAAAAGTGTTGCCAATCACAAAACACATTTAAAAAATCGATTCTCTTTTTCGATCGATTATTTACGGTGTCATCATTACAGTGCTAATATAATTTTTAAATAATTATGATGTTACGATAATTAAACAAGCGAATTACTAGCTGATTTCTAATGAATTCTTTAGAGAGTAACAAATGCTACGGCACAATTTAACTGTTAATCTTAACCGATCTTCTTTGAAAACAGATAAGAACTGTTATTCTTATCTGTTTTTAAAGAAGATCGGTTAAGTTATTCTTATCTGTTTATAACAACACATTTAAAATAGAATCATGTTATGATAACGAAACAAGTTAGTTTCCAGCTGATTTACCATGAATCCTTTAACCTTTTGAGCGCCAAAGTCGCCTATACTTGACCAACACCTGCGGGCCCTGAGCGCCAACGACGTCTATAGTTGACAAAAAACCCGGCTCCGAAAAATATGAAATATAGATATTGGAAAATTATTACAGGTATTTTAATTCTACACTCCTCAAAATAGGAATAACCCAGCAACATGTGAGTATAAAAAACAAGTCTTCTAGAGCCACAAGTACTAAGAAACATTGAACTAATAAAAATGGATTTTTATCTAAGCAAATACTATGTCCAGCACGCCAAAGTCGTCTATGGTTGACCGCTAGTGTCAAACGCGGGAGGCATAGATTTCTTGAAAACTATCCAAAATTCAGCTCAATGGTGTTTTTTTTTCTATTATTATTGATATTTGAATAAAATTAAAGGTTATAAACATAAAACTATAATTAGCTACATGAATAAAAAAATGTTATCAGATTATCTTCGCATAATAAATCTAATATCTCAACTCTAGCGCATCTTTAGCGCGTCATCGAAAATCAGTTCACTGGGCACCGTGATCAAGGATAGACGACACCCTGATGACGTCATAAGTGATTACCGAGAAAAGTAGAGCAATGCAACATGAACGATTCCTCAGAACTCATTCGGATTTTGGAAAGCGTCGATGATGATGAATTTTGATTTTTGATTGATGAATTGAATTTTTTGATTGGTGAACAAATATGTTTATTTATTCCATGACCAAGATTTTAGTATTATAAGGCTGATTTACCTAGTGCGAATAATTATATACAATTGTTGATTAATGAATAATTATGTACCTTTTTTAATAATAATACAAAATTACAATTAATGTTTTTTTTACTTAGGGTGTGAAGAGCAATTTTTCATTTTGTGTTGTGCCATTTTCTTTCTCAGTCTCAAAATCATCTAGCAGCATCAGCATCATATCAAATCCCCATTGTCATAAGAGTGTAAGACTTTTCTTCTGTGCGTCACTTGGCCTACGCCTTCCCCGACACATAAAATATTATGAATCGATGTCTGTATATTTCGGTTAGATCGATTTTGAAATCGATACACAACATTCTAAGAATGTTTCAAAAGGGAAGGTCAGCTACGCCGTTGTCGTCCAGTCGCGACAGTGTCGTCATTAGGATGGAGAGTAGTGCTAATGTTTACTACTATTTTATTGTTATTGTTTGTTTTTTATTTATGTTTATACGTACAAAGTACATATATAAAAAGAGTGGAAGACGGCACAAGATTAAATAAAACATACAGTTTATTAAGAGTCATTTATAGCATAAAAAACCAACAAAAACAAGTTATTTCACGTTATCGATATATCAACTCTTGGCAACACTATTTTGTTTTGGCGCTTTGGCGTACAGGACACGGTAATGCGTTTTTGGCGTGGCGCTCAAAAGGTTAAAGCTTAACAAAACGCAACTGCACAATTTTTATCAATTTCAAGACAAAAACAACCGTTGTTATCGGCTTGGTTGAAAACGTTAACAACCGCCTTCACATCTGTAGTTATGATAATTAAATAAGCGATTTAATAGCTGATTTACAATGAATTCTATGCAGTATAACATAACGCTACTGCACAATATAACTGTTATTCTTATCTTTTCTTAACAATACATTTAAAATGAAATCATGTTACGATAATTAAACAAGTGAATTTCTAGCTGATATACCATGAATTTTTTAGAGCTTCATAAAACACTACTGCACAATTAACTGTTCTTAAAAATACACTTAAAATAGAATTTAAATAAAAAAGGAAAATACATTTTAAAAAGCGAGCAGAAGTTAAAACACCTCCAAGATTATTCTCTTTTTATGAAATTATTAATCGAATAATAATCGAATCGCTATGGATATTATGATGTTATGATAATTAAACAAGCGAATTACTAGCTGATTTACTATGAATTCTTTAGAGTACAATAAAATGCTACTGCACAATTTAACTGTTATTGTTATCTGTTTTAACAATACATTTAAAATGGAATCATGTTATGATAATTAAACAAGTGAATTTTTAGCTGATTTACCATGAACTGTTTAGAGCATAACAATACGCTACTCCACATTTTAACTGTTCTTAAAAATACGTTTAAAACATAATTTAAAAAAATAAAAGAAAATATATTTTAAAAAGCGTGTAGAACTGAAAGCGAAACTCAAATATTATTATTTTTTCATTAAATTACTAATCGAATACAAATCGATATCGTTTCGTTGTATTTATGTTAGTTATGTGGCAACATCAAATCTGACAGCTATAGGAAATATGTCATGCGAAATGAAATCACAATTCAACAAGTAAAAAGGTACTAGTGAATTCACAACTAAATAGTTGCCATTGTGTTATTTTGTTTGTTATTTTTCAAATAAATTCTCAAGAACTCATATGGAGTGAGATTGTCGATCACATTATAGTGTGACAACAGTTAAAAGTAAGTGTTCAACAGTTTTTAATTTATTAATTCTAGTGCTGATATTTGATAGTGATGAATGTATGAAATGATGAAGTTGTTTTATTTTTTAACATATGCACAAGCTATACCTGACAAACAAAATAGCTTATTTGTAACACGGCGATAAGATTAGCTAGCTAACACCAGATAGTTACGAAATGGACAATTTTTACAAATACCAAGAAATAAGACAGTCGATTTTTAATTGTTTTTGGACTACTGGTAGGCAGTCAGTCCTTAATTATTAAATAATATAGGGCATTAAGTTTTAAGTAACATTTACCTATATTTGAGTTTAAAGTAAACAAATCTATTTTATTTTGTTCACTTTGTCTTATTTTTT